GTATAGTTCCTTTCTCGCGACGAATGTAAGATGATTGTAAAAGTAGAGTAGATGAGGTGAGAAGTAGGCATTGTCAATAGCTGTATGTTTAGTATCTTGTTATTTTTGGTGCTGGAATATTTGATCGATTTGGTGAGAAAAAAGGAAATTGTCGAACGTTTAGTGTTCACTGATGCTAACTGTAAATTCAGACTTTTGTAGATCGACTTAGACGTTAATTACATTGATTTGCAAAAAGAGGTTAATCAGTTCGTACAGACTTAAATCACAGTTTTCTATTACAAACCTAATATATTTAAGCCTTTGGCAAACGAATGTCATTTTGGCGAGATTAAGTGTTTATATTTGGAACACTATGTCAAACAAATGATTTAATTACTTGAACAGCAAGAGATCACGTAGTTTCCTTCTCTACGATTTAAGCAATCAATATATAATTTAACTTCATCTGCTGAAGCTCTTCGTATATTTCAAAGAATCATCGTCCGATAAAGGTTAAATTCCCATCCTCAGTCCAATTTAATTTCAATAACAATTACATATTCACAGTTCGACAATATCAAATATCATTCACACTTATACTATACAAAGTCTCAAAACATTTCCAACAAAGACGTCCAAAAGACATCTAGAAGAATATTAATTCAGCGCACAAAGAGTGAAAAAAGGAAGACAGCTTCCATTATCCCAGTTTTTTCATCACGAGAGGATTAACCGATCGCGAGGAGCGGCAAGACAATGAGAATTCCCCGGCAAAGTATCAAAACAATGTCTCTAATCCGGGGACCGGTGGCGCGGCTGGTAATTTAATCGTTCAGGCAACTTTTGCTGCTCAGGATCGAGGCAACGTGTCGCGGGCGACAACTTCCCCGACGAATTTGCAATGTAAACCGTCGCCCGTCGGAACGACACGTGTACGATTCCGGGAAGGGAGACGCGCGTCGGCGATTATGTGCGCGTGAAAGCGGGGGTGTCGATAAAAATTCTTGTGCCGCCGGAACACACTCCAACCCCGTCCTTCCTCGCTTCCGGCGCGTTGTCTTCCGTCCCCGGCAACTTTCCGCGCTGGATTTTTGTTACGGACAATTTGCCGCGAGCGAACACTCCGCGACACTCGCGTGCCTTACTTTTTATGGGTGGGACCTGTGGAAGGGACGATATTTCGGAGACTTCCGCGAGAGTTGATTGGACGTTGTTTTTGGTTTTTATGTTTCCAGGATTTATAGGTGTGGGATTAAATTGTTAATGGCTCTGGAAGATGTGGAACAGTTATTGGTTTTTGGTATTTAATTTTTATAATGTTTAATAATAGTTAATAATATTTAATGATACTTTGGTTTAGGAATCGAAGGTTTCATTTCTTGGCGAAGAAAGGATAAGTTGAATTTGAAGCGTTGGTAATTTCAGGAGGTTGGTAGATGATTACAGATTTGACTACAGTATTGTTTCCAAGAATTATGCTCGCTAGCAATGTTAATGCTTATATAGAAAATTGATGCAATGATAGATGTAATCCCGAGAACTCAGTTTCTCTGACGAAGGCTGCACCAAACTAGGATCGAAACGTTGAACTTTTTATTAAAACTTTCTAAGAGTTCTCTCATGAAATCGAGGCCTGTTTTCGTAAAAGGTAGCCACGAGCATTCAAACGCAAGTGTAATTTTGACTAATGCGTCTATGAACTGCTCATTATCTTCTCATCGGTTCCCGCGAGCCAAAGCAGGCTTAATCGCAGCGTAGCCGTCGGCCAATTAGTCAATATAATCATGAGAAATCTTTTATTGTAGTTCGCGTCGGTTGGAAAGACTTCCTCCGACTTCAAGATGGCGGCGCTCGGACTCCGTAGCGCCGGAGCTAGAGGAACGGTCACGTTCTACGCCCATCGGCCACGTGATCGCAGGTGAAAATGGTTTAAAGGTCGATCGCGAGGACGCTGAAATCCTGTTAGAGATCGACGGCGAGGAGCGAGCAACGGCTCGCTTGTAACAGCGTTTCCGCGCTCGCGAGCACACAAAAGGGAATTATGCAACTCGCGCGGGATGGCTACGTGTATCGGTGATTGCGCAATCCTTCGACAAGACCGTCGGGGATCAGACGCAACTCCGTTTCTGTTTCCTGTACACGCGGTCGAGGCGCACTTAACCGCGGAGTTAACGTTTCACGAGCGCCGTGCAGCTCGCGTCATAAGTCTGCGACCTTTTTTCTCCTTCTCGTCCGTTGGTCTTCGGACTGTAGAGTCCTGCAAGAAGTATTATGTAACGTGTATGTAGTATAATCGAATTTTATAGTATTCACGCTTTCACGTTAACGTAGACAGCAATTCATGGTTGAAAGGGAATTTTTGTTTAACTTTTCCGTTCGCCGATCGGAGATTTAAAACTTTTGGAATAGTGAGACAACTCGGAGCGACAACAAACTGAAATATATTAATACATTACAGTAGAAAGATGAGACGTAACTAATGCTATTGTTAAATTGATGGTTCTATTTCTTGGTAAATGAAAAGGGACAGGTCGGCTTTGAAGTGTTAATAATTAAAAGCTTAATAAATGATCATAAACTTTGTTGAAAATCTTGTTTTCCAAGAATCAGGGTCGTTAAGATTCGCGGACACTTATGGTTTATTCTATCGCTTTTAGAGAAATTGATATTTATTCATTTGGACTATCGACAGAGAATAAACTGTACCGTAAGTGTCTCAAATTTCTAATCGCTTTAAGAGAAATTGACATCTGTTCATTTGGATTTTGGAAATTAGAGGTTCAAAAGTGCACAATGGCGATATACATTTGCGTGTCTACACCAATCAAGACCCAAAAATTTACCAAATAATGTTTATAAGACTGAATACGAGTCAAATTGGCTCGTTCCGTAAGTCTACCGTTAACGAAGGAAAATTCGAAGAAATCTCGAATCTGATCGCAGAACGAGGAAACACAGGAATGAGAGCCGCTGCCTGATTCCGCAGGACGCTCGAATTTCCGCGGCAGCCACGCGGGTCCACTTTAAAATTTAAATTATCCGTGTCCGTCCGTCAATGCCACCTGTAAGTCCAATTTAATTTGAACGTGTGCCCGGGGATCCGCGGCTGCCGCTGGATTTAATTCTTCTCTTTCCGTTTTTTTTTGTTCCTGTTTGTCAGGGGGTGGATGGAGGAGCGGCACGCGTGAAGGAATCAATTTTTGCGGGACAATACTTGGAATTATATTCATACCGGCGGCTGTACCAATCCCGGGCCGCTGAATATTTCAGAGCTCGCCCGGACCGCGGTGCAATAACCGTATCTTTTACGCAACGTCGACGGTGAACTATCGAACTGCTTTTTGTCTTTATGGCGGCCGATCAACTTTATGATCGGCTTCGGCCGGGGATAACCGAACTCCCTGCTATACCGATGCCGTACGAACTGTACCAATGTTAATAAACATCGCGCGCACTGTATGCCATCGGTTCCCTGTTTTGTTTATCGCGAACTCATTTGCGTTCGTTCGTTATTTATTTATCGCGATCGGGGGAGGACACATGTGGTCTTCGTTTGTAATTATGCCGGTTGCGTTACTTCCGCGTTAATAGAATATAAGAAATTAATTAGTTTGTGGATTGTAATAAATTAGAGAATGTCGTACTGTTGTTATTAAGAGTGTGTTCTAAGCTTACTCACCTTCATTTTCCAGTGGGATCGGCAATTAACTGTTACTTCTGTCAGTGTTTTATCGGTATGTGAGTCAGTGGGTGTAAACAAACGCATGTGTGACTGGTGTTCGAATGAGTCATAGTTGCAGTGACATTCTTTCGATTGTTGAAACCACGAAGCGTCTCGTTGAATCGACTATCGACGAACTGTATTGCAAATAGAAATACAAAAATGAAAACTAAGATATAGAAATAAAAGATAATAATATACAAAGAACAAAAGAAAATGTCGTTAATAGAAATATTTTGGACAGTCATAATTAACAGATTATCGTATTACCTTAAACACTAAAATAAAAGAACATAGAAAATCATGTTAAAGTATTTCCATTGAAATACAACACATAAAATAACGGAGAACAGCGTCGTTACAAAATGGCCGGCATTAGGACCCAAAATTGGTCCCAGTAGCGTTAGCAAAGGTCAGAAATGTGCTTGCTACAGCGATTTCTCTCCTCGATCGTATCTCCGCAGGAAATTGGCCGAGGATTCCCGTGGGCTGAGTGCACGCCCCACCGTCTTGGGTTCTTAATGACTTGTCTACTAGCTACGTTCGGCCCCCGCCATCTTTAAGAGACCGATCGAGCGCAGCTCCGCGTCGGTTACAACCGATGCCCGTGTAATCTTCGCCCGACAAATGGGAAAAAGGTTGAGGAAGCTGATGCCAGTGGAGAATATTTCAAACGCAACGACACGGAAGAAAATTACGCGGGCTTTTGGTGCTCTTGAACGCCCGGCATCCGTCGGGAGATTTAAACGAGCGACCGGAGACTGCCGGCCCCGTTCTCGGAACGTCTTCGAATCACGTTTTGAAAAGTGGAGATTGCGAAATGGAAAGTCTTCTGCGTGTTGCGTCTCAATTTTTATCAAGAGAAAAGTACCAGAAATATTAGAGCAGTTTGTCTTCTCAATAGAAATCAATAAAATTTCACGAACTGTAGAATTCTATTATTAAGAAAGTTTTCCTATGCTCTCCTTGTAAAAGAATAATTTCGACATTTTGTATTGTTCAAATGTTAAGGAGTAAGAGAATGGAAATAATATTTGAACCGCGTATATTTTAGAACTCATTGCGTCACCACGAAGATTGTTTAATAATATAGAATCTATTTTAAGAATCATCTGCTCTTAAATTCTTCTAAATATTTCTAATTCTATATACTATACGTTTAGAAAAATTATTCATTAATTTCATATATGCTGTATTTTATATCTTAAGAAAATTACATAATTAATTATGAATTATCACGAAATACATGTTTTTTTAGTTGAAATGTCCTGACGTAATTCAACTGGTTTTTTTTCAGATCTATCCCAGCCTGAAGGAAGAAGGGTCAGTGCTCGGCAGTGCCACACAGAGGGTAACAAGGTAGGTGGTCAAGCTTACAACGAATAGCGTTCGCGCCGCGTGTTATTTTAAACATTTTCCCCGCGTGTCACGGCAGCGCAGTATAATTTTTAATTCGCGGCACTTTAATCTCGAAGAGCGCGCAGAGAAACCGTGCGAAAACAGGACCGACTCAAGAAACGCGCGTCATGACGCGCGTAGCTTCGCGCAGGGTTTTATTTCGTTATTTTAGTATCTTATTAACATTCACTTTTCGCCGAGGCTCGCCCCCGGCGACATGAATCACACTGTCGCGCGTTTTCTCCGGCGTTGTACGTGTCCGTTTAAAATATCGCGGATACGTAGACAATTAAGTGGATCGGTGGCTTGTACGAGAGCTTTATCGGTGGCGCGAAACAGGATTTAAGTGTCGTTTTTAAGAGCCCGCCCGTTGGAAAGTTGCCCGCACCTCGGCTGGAATTGCGCCGCTGTTAATAACACCCGAGGACTAGCACAAGCGGAGATAATAAGAATTCGGGATAGCTTGGCTCGGCTGTCCGTTAATTGCACGCCTTTATTCTCGCTCTTGGGTATCCTTTATAGTAACCGGGAGATTCGTTTCGTCAACGATTGTTGTTTTTCGCGAATTCCGCCCGCCTCGGCGATCGATAATGAACACGTTACAGCGGGAATAGGTGTCAGCTTGTTAGCCAACGGAAGTTCACCGACATTATTTATGGAGCCGTGTATATACAGAGTGGAAGCGTTAATTGAACGGGAATTATAGGGAGCAAATGGTCTTGCCACATGAATTGTACTGAGTTATATCCAGAAGCAACTGATGAGTTTCGTGGTACTTAGTTTATAAAGGATTGCTTGATTCTTCATTATTCAACATTTAAATATTATACTCATGGATTCCTCGTTATCGAATGACTGGAACATTTGGATTAATGGGACTTCAATCCTAGCATCCTATGCGTGTTAGACTTAGAGGTACCTCAGCCTCTAACAACTTCCCAAACAACCGGATCCTTAAGTTTCCTTCATTAACATTTGAATTTCATTGTCTACACTAGATCAGTATCATCAGCACCTTAAACGACTTATTGGTTACCTAATTAGAACCTATAACTTATTGAGACCTCTACCCTAAAGTCTGACAAGTGCTAGGCACATACGTATTTTAAATTCTCTAAGTTGCTGGATCCTAGGATTTCCGATGCTGACATTCGACAAGACACTCTGAAATTTAAACTATCAGTACATTTTGTATTTCACTGACTGACTCACTGTAGCTCCATTAGATTCTATCCTTAGGATACCATCATTACCAAGCCGCGACTTCTAAAATATCAAGAATCAATCGCGTCCTACTTTGTAATCCTTCTACGCTCTTTGATCATGATAAAGGAACCAATATATTTTGTCGTTGGTGCTATCAATCATATATTCAATACTATCGATCATATCCACCCACAAAAACGTGATCAATCTTTTTAAGGAGCACTCTTACTCGTGCAAAGTTGATATTCCGCGGTGACGCACTAACGTACTTAGAGAAAGCTAATCATTCGGTGTATTCGGCGCCACCAATTGGTTTCAGCTGCGGAAATCGGTTTTCATCGGTGTTTAACAGGTCGACCTTTCCCGGCCGTCATCATTTCCGCGAGTATTTCCGCGCTCGTAATCGGACTATCGCTTGATTCGTTCCGCTTTAACTGGAATTCCGGGCACGGCGAAGAGAAATGGACGCGGCGTCGGCGTAAAACGCAGGAAAAAAGACACAGGGATTTGAAATCCCACGAATTCCCACGAAAAAGTTGACGTGTTACGGAAAAAGAGAGCCGACCGCCTGCGCGCCCGGACTTATATTCTTTAAACGCACGGATGATTTCCACGAGCAAACGGAGTCTACCTGGTGAAACCCCTCGCGCTGTCAGCGATTCTGACGCGGTGCCTTTATTTTTTTCGACTCGATAAAGGAAATGATTCCGTTCGAAGCCTTTTTGAAGTCTCCTTTCAGGGCGTAACTTAATGATCTTCTGTCGGCGCGTCTTCGTGCCCCGGTTCTGTGAAAGCTTTGAGAAAATTTTGACATTTCGCGGAGAACCTTGTCAGCAAATCCTATGAACGCAGCTTTTTGAAGATATAGTAATTTGAAAATTTCAATTGAAGCTCTATAAAGTTCTGAGAAACCTTCAAGTTCTCGATTAAAACGTTTCACGAAATAAATGTTTCCAAACAAATATTCGTCTTTCAAGATACTTCAATATCTTTCACAGTTTTATCAAATAAACTTTACTTTCGAAGAAATATTTAGTTTTCAAGGTTCCTCGATATCTTTCGTAGGATTATAGGAACAGTCTAATCATTTTGTCTTAAGTAGTTCTCGGCTAACTTTCATCTTTTATTCTCTGATATTTGAAGATATCGCAAGAATCGAGCGAAGAAAAGTGGTTCAGGCTACGATAAAGACCACACGATGAAAAAATGTATTCCCGCAATTTTTATAAGACACGTGTCAATTACACAGAGCGATCGGTAGTTCCGGCGTTAATTGCGAAACTGTTCGCCGAGCGCGTCGCGCAAAGACTTCTTTGACCGGGCGCGGCTCCTATAATTACGGATGATACCATTGCACAGCCAATACCATGGAACCCGATACGGTGTCCCGTCATGCTCGTTGATCAAAAGTTATTTCGCGTGTCGCCGTGAAACGCCATTAGTCCCACGGCGATCCAATTCGTGGCGACGCGGCGGGGACACGAATGGCCGAAACGCGGCAGAAATTACGTGGTCCGAGTGGCACGTCGCACCTAGCCGCACCAGAATGTGACCATTTAAGGTCGACTTCGCGGCTGACCGACGTTCTTCGACCTCGAGTCATTGTTTAGATTGGATTCACGTACGACGGACGCTGAACAGGGATCGCCTGCTTAAAGGATCCTGTTCCTTGCCTCGAAATCTTGTCTCGAAACACGAACACAATCAGGAAATAGATCGAATCAACCACCTTGTTCTTCGTAAGATCGAAGCTCTTGAGAATTTTTCTAGAAAAACGTGAAGATCTTGTTTGAACTTCGGTTCTCCTACCTTTCCACTACTGTATTTAACATATCTGGGATTCCTTATGTCTGTACTCTTGTCCTGAAACTCTCGTTTCTATTTTTGTGCCGTACTAATGTAATCCTTATGACGTATAATAAATAGTATCGATTTTGAGAAATAAAATATTGCCAAGTAATTCGAACAAGAAAATTACAACAAAATGCAAAAATTAATATCTCATTGCAATAGCAAAAGGCTAATTCAAGTTGTTTCTTTTACATGTCTCAAAGTTTCACAAAATGTATTTTGAATTACAATCATCAAAGAACTATTGTACATGAAATGAATTCCATCGACAATAATTTCTAAATTAATTTCAATGAAAAGATTAGCTCGGATTACAAATTTCTTCCAACCTTTGCTCAAAAGTGTATACAGTGTCCAAGCCACGGCAAGATGGCGGCCGTTAGCCTCATTTCCGATTCACCGGCAGCAAAAGATCCACGGGTCGTCGAGTTTCTTTTCCGCGGCGAAGGGGACACTCGAGGTAACGAAGAAAACGTTCTGGAAACGCGAATTAGTTCCGCGCGCGAATTATCATCCGGCCGATCGATAAGAACCGCGCGTCGAGCCCCAATTACGCGAGAACGCGCGTGGCGTTCCCCCTTCCCAAGCCCGCGAGCGTGTAATTTCTCCGCGCGGCGCCGAGTGGGAAGGTAATTTAAGATGTGACGCGGAGCACGGCTAATTGGTCAATATTTGATGTTTCCCCGGGAAACTGGAATAACATCGGGGCCAATTTGAATGGAGGTTTAAGAGCGGCACCGTAAACGCCGATGGAAAATATCGTAGCCGCGTGTCGAAATGTTCAGCGTTCGATGATTAGTTCTGTGCAAGACTGATTTGAGAAACTAGGACTTTCTCTGGATGTGTTGCATACTCGCGTCGATGATCGTAGCTGTTGATCATCGCGGATCTGGAGTATAGATGTTGAATTTAGAAGTTGTAACTTGACAATGGATTTTTCGGCGAATTGAAGATCCTTCGATTTGCAGAATAGGTGTTGAATAAAACTTGATTCTCTTCTGAAGAATTTTAGTCAGTTGAATATGAAACGAGAATACTCAGAATATTGGAAGTTCAATAATTCGTCCATTGCGCCTCTTGTGAATGAAGGAAATTATGCATTATAGAATACATTATAGTTTCATTTGTATTTTTTTTCAAACTTGTGTTTCAAAGAGTTAACGCAAACAATTTGGCGTTTCGTAAATTCGGAGGAGGGGATTCCAAATTAAGGATTCCGATGAACAGGAACTCCTGAAATGGCGTCCGGCCGGTAGCTTCTTACGGCCATCTTATTTTTGGACACCTGCGGCCGCGGCGCTCGTTCCACTGACCTTAAAAAGGAATCGCGCCGCGGCCGTTGCGTGGGCGTTAAAAAACAGCCTAAACATGGCCCACGCAACGGCCGCGCCGCGGATTCGGAGCAGCCGTACCTAAAACTTCTCTGTATATGGGAAGAAAAGCTGTCACGCGATCCGGAGATCTTCATTCGCGATAACGGAAACCTGTCCCTGTTCTTGTCTTTTATAGGCGCCTTTATCCCCGCGCACGCGGTCGACGATACTGATTTATGCGCACGGTGATTTATTCGAATCCGGCCACGCCGTGATCTGTCCAACGCGGCGGAAAGTTTTAAATAAAAATCACCGTGTCAAGGGGAATGGTTTATCGCGTGAAAATTGAAGAATGGAGAAACTGATTGTGGAACAGTTGTTTGATTCAATCGAGTTCGACGAGTGATTTTGCAATGATTATCGGTGTAATAAGATTGTTGCTTTAACAATGCGCAAGATAAGAAATTGGACAATGTATTCTTTTGTTATTTTCGTATTGAATATTTTGTGTGCTTGTTCGGCATTCGTTAGAAATATTTTATTAAAAAACAGGAGTATCGGATATTAATTCACTATATTTACACTAGAATA